GCAAGCCCACACAGGTCAGCTGCTTATTCAGAAAGCCTGGTTCTGACTAACAAGCCTGCAGTTTGTGGAGATCAGTGTGATGCTGAGGTGGATGACTGCTCAAATGTGCTCATGGTGATGGACCCACTCAATAGTGAAGTGAAGCAGGACAGAGTCTCACTGAGAAGGGATGTGGAGAGGGTGGAAAAGACGAATAGCAAAGAAACCTGATTGTTCAAACAGTGGCAGAGAGAAACTCCCAGCTCACAGCTTAGATTTCAACATGAGAAACAGCTGCGCTGAGCACATTAGGAAGCATGTATGTCAAATCTTGCCCAGTACTCACTGGAATGCCTGTGGGAGTCCTCGCTCGATCCCAAATGCATGCTTTGGGTCTACGTGGGAACATGTGCATGACCAGAGGGAAGAGTTCCAGAATGCCAGAAGTATGCTTTTTCAGCCTTTGTCCATCCTTTTCTTCCCCCAAGCCCATGTGGAAGACCGTAACAACTTGTTTAAGAATGTGCCTCATCCACTGAGTATGCTATGGTTAAAGTGAATGAGGCATGTGTTTGCTGAGAAAGTTTGGTGTCAAATCCTGTCCAGAGTGCTTTGTGTAGTTGAAGGGTCTCTCTCATCATGGTCTTTATCCTTAAGGTGCTCAAGATGAGGTTTAGTGTCAAAATTGGCAGCTCATCATCGCCTAGCTTTCTCCTGCTCCGAGAGGTTAAACTCTCAGTGGAATCTCTGTTCCTACCTGTATGCATTTTGATATCTTTTTTTTTCTTTCTTGCACATACATACATCTTTCCTGTTGTCTTATCTCTGTTGTCATCCTTTGCCTGTCACATTGATGTTTTTTATAGTCCCTGTGGATAATAGGTGTGGAAAAAGTGAATTTCACTGCTTCATCATTCATCAACTCCCTCATCGTTCACCCTAGCACTGTTCCAAAACATTGTGAGCTGCCTGTTTGGGTAACCATTGCTAACCATCATGGAAACTCATAAGTGACTGATTTGGAACATTCTACATAGGCAGAAGCTTCATCTCCCACATGAAGAGCGTGAAGAGTTTGATGTTAGCATGATGCTCTGATGAAGTAATTCATGGCACACTTAATTATTTGGTAAAAGTCCATTTTTATTTACACTAACTGTTTTTTGATACTTTTTTGTTTTTAAATGGAATAGAAGTTTCTTGTCTGCAATTTTGAGTTAATTGCATGGAGATGACCAGTGCTTCCTTATAATTTGGCTAAAACAAGGTATCTTAAATCATTAAGATTAGGTTCCTGACTAGGTTTTGGAACAGAGCACCAGTCAACTATTCCCTTATACCTTTCAGTTATTCTCAAGAAAGGGACAAGGCTAAAAGCAGTACATTATCAAGAGAGGAAGTGCATTATATGATAGGAGAAGGGTAATGGAAATTCGCTAGAACTTCTGGCCCTGCAGTATACAGTGAGTTGCTTTATGGAGGTCAGGAAGTTTGCCCTCTGATCTGCCTGTATCAGGCTGTGCTTTGGTGTTCTGGCTCAGATGAGGGTATAAAGTGCATATCTCGTGCTTTCACCTACTTACCGCTCTACAGTTTACATTCCATTTGTGTGTTTATAAGAACCGTCATCCCCTTCACGTCCATGAAATCCTTATGTAATACAGTGTGGCGAGCCCAGGTTTCATGTACTGGAATTTATTGCTTCTCTTGAAGCATTTTATTCCATTTTGCTACCATTGCCTTTTAGATAATGACTAGTCAATTCAGTAGTCGAGAGTTGTATTGTCATCGTTCATACTTTTTGTTTAACATGAACATTTTTTTATGAGGCGTTTTTTAAATTGTATCAACTTCAGTGTGACATGGCAGTAATGTTTATTTTTTAAAAGCACTTTGAAAGAGGAACATGTTGCAAATATTGAGTTTTGAGTTATTGCTGCCACAGCTGCACTCAAATTGAAAAAAAAACCCTGAAATACTAAAATCCTTTTCTCACGCTGTACTCGTAAGGCCTTGGAAATTAGACGTGGGCCTTATTGAGGGTTGGAAATGCCAGAGAGGGGTGTGTGTGAGAGTGGATAAGCCTCCAATACACTTCACCAGTGCACATCTGGCCTTTCTAGCCATCATTATTGCCCTTTGGAGGCTGAGTGTGAGTCACTCATTAGAAGTGTGGAAGTCCAAGAAAGCTGGCTGAGGCCATCTCATTCCCTTTGCATTACATTTGTGTAGCGCTGCTCTCTCTGCTTATCAATTGTCCCCGGGCATAGATACAGCGAATATGGCTTCTTGCCTTGTAAACACCAGCTGGGTAAACCCTAATCTTGAGGCTTTCCACCAGGTTCAAACTTCTTTTGCAAAACGATGGGATCTAATATTGCTCTTTGTCTGTTTATTTGCCATTCCTGCAGAACAAACTTTTGGCAGAGTGAATGGCATAATTGGAAAGTAAACAGTGGGGTTCCTTTGACAGTGGAATGCAGTATTTGTGTGTTTGTCTGTGCTATTATTTCCTTGGCTATAGGTGAACTCAAGCCTTCTAAGGCTGGAGAATGACCTGAGAATTTAAGAAAGTTTAGATGTTTTCTTGTTTTTATATGAATCAACCCAAAAGTGAAACATCTGTCATAATTTACTCACCTTCATTGAAACCTGTTTGTATTTTCGAATGGTGACCATGACTGTCTAGTAATATTTGAATGAAAAATGACTTGCATGTCATTCTATTCGTCACATAAATCTATCACCTGGCTTCAGAATACTGGAATATAGTGCAAGACTACTTGTATTATGCTTTTATTGTGCTTTTTGGAGCCTATCCACTTTCATGTATGGAAAAGAGCATTGTGCACATTTTTCAAAACGTCTTTTTTGTTCGGCAAAAGAAATGCAGTTGTGTGTATGGAACATTGTAAATAAATGATGACAAAACTTTAATTTTTGGGTGAGCTATACTTTTATCCTTTATACCCTGTAATAATAGTCAATAGTTAAAACGGTCAACATTTAATTATTTAATACTGTAGTGATTTTTTTCCCTTATAGCTAAGTTGTGTGTCATATCTGGAGACAATGAAATTGACACATACACTTTTTCTAAGTCTTCTCACCAAAAATATGCTGAATTACAATTATGGATGGCAATAATTACAGAGTGTCTCGTTTCGGGAGGATTTCATCCCAAGGGACAGGGAAGCAGGCGATGATCCCACCAAAGGTTCGCTGAGCAGATCCAATTGAAAGAATTTTGCCAGTCAGCGATTTCATTTTGAAAAAGCTCCAGGATTGTTGTTTTAGAGTGTTCAGTCAGGAGAGAAAGGATTTGGGGGGAGATCAAGTTATTTATTTGCGGGAGCCATTTAAATGGGAACTGCGGCCATGATGGAGATGCAGGGAAATGGGAACTGGCGGGCTATGAAGACCGAAAATGCCAAATGTGGCATCTTTCCAAATACGTATATAAATGTGAAGATGAGAACCGGGTTGCAGAAGAGACATGATTGTATAAAATCATCAAAGCTTTTGTTGCTGACCAAAGAAGAAGCGAATAAGCAGAAGGCTCTGCTGGTTGTGTGGATGAGTTCAAGTTTCTGCTAACTATGCAAAATGCTTCCAAAGAATCCATGTATAAAGTTGCTTATGTTTTTTTTTGTTTTTTGTGTTGTATGATTTGTCATGTCATGTGATACCACAGGTGTTGTTAATTTGTTAATTTATTCATATTTTATTTTTCATTAAATTAATTTGACACGGTTTAAATGTTTGGGGTCGGTGAGATTTAAAAAAAAAAATCTCAGATGCATACCTAGGCTTTATTTGATCAAAAATACAGGGGGGAAAACAATTTAAAATAACTGTTTCCTGTTTAAATACATGTAATTTATTAATTTTGTTGACAAAGCTGAATTTTTTGCAATCTTTACTCCAGTCTTACACTTAAGTGTCACATTATCATTCAGAAATCATTTTAATATGCTGATTTTGTGCTATAGAAACATTTCTTATTATCAAATGTTAAACTTGTCTTATGCTTAATATTTCCTGTGTAAACTGTGATACTTTTTTTTTTCAGAACTCTGATGAATATGAAGTTCAAAAGAACAGTATTTATTTG